ATTGCTCACCACACTTTCCCTGGGGAATTCACCTCTCAAGTACAGACCCAGGTACCCACCCACCCTGAACATCCCAGCAACAAAGAGGCATCCAAAATCAGTGCATCCTCCCACCAAGATCCTCCTCTACTGAAGCTCTCCGTGCCATCCACTGCAGTGTCCTCTCAGGTCTCTGAATCCTTATACCCTCTGCCTGACACACACATGCATGGACCTGCACACAAAGTCTGCAAGCACCAGCAGGTGCACACATGCCCACAGTGCCTCCTGATGGGGCCAGACAGAGCAGATATCAACCCGAGACTGTGGCTCTCATAAAACAGCCCAGGTTACCAAGCCACAGATAGAGGCCAAATCTATGGCTAAGTGGTCTATTTCCCAAATCCAGGCTGACCTATGGAAAACAGTAAGAAAACAAGACAATGTACATCTGCAGGCACTGAGGCATCCGTGGCTTTGGGGATGCCCTCCCAAGCAGCTGCTGACACTGCTTACCTTGTTGGACATCTGCGGGCAGTGCTGCTCTGTTGTGTGAATCAATGTCTGGTCCAGGTCGACCATAAGCACCAGCTTTCTGTCCCGATGCAGTCGCTGCTGGTCTTCTCATCCTAGCTGCTCGGCTTGCTGAAGTTAAAAAGAAAAAGAGAAAAACAGCAAACGAAGTATGTTTAGTTCCAAAATAAAACTAAATTTTATTAAGAAAAACAAAAGGATTCTGATATGTTCACCCACACACACACCCCCCCCCGCCTGTGCACTGTGGGCCTCCGCTGTGTGCTGAGAGCACCATGGCATCAACCAGCTGTGCACATGGGCCGCCCCCACTGGCCTTGCTGCATGCTTACCAAAAGCTGGCTCTGTCTGGTCCAAATCTATTGATGGCAGCCTGAACTGTGACCATAATTCTGAACTTTAGTTAAATATATAAACCAATGATAATGAAGGATGAAAAGAAAATGGTTGTTTCTATAAAAATCCAGTTGGGTGTTATGGAGCAATTTAATAAAAGTGAACTGCAGAATCAACAGAGATAGGAGAGAATGCAATCATAAGACATGGGGGGCGTGGGGCAAAGGTGGATGAGGACTCTGAGCTCAGACCCTCCCAGGCTCAGCCCCCTGCACATGGGGCTGAGACAGGACTCTCCTCAGAAAATGTCCTGGCTGCCCTCACATCCGAGCGCACAACAGGAATTAAAGCAAACACTCAAAAGCGAACCGGCACTCAGTTATTCACAGACAGACTCCTGGTCCTTGTGAGGCTGGACGGGGGACTTCTGCTGGGTTTGTTCCCAAAAGGGGCC